GCAGCAGCAGCAGCAGCAGCAGCAGCAGCAGCAGCAGCAGCAGCAGCAGCTAGCATTGTGCTCCTAGCAGCAGCACCAAGAAACAGATTGCTAATCTACTTATTTTTAAAATAGGGGAATAGCAGAGTTATGCACTGACAGTACACACCTTAATACATCAGTACACATAAAGTGTGGCAGTCTTCTGAAGAGTAGAAGTGGAGTGTCTGCAGTTCTGGGTAGTGGTCAATAGGCTCACCAGCACCACGTGAGGCCAAATGCCTCTATTTAAAGAAGCTTTTGAATGCAATTCACTTCTCTGTGAAATAGAGAAACTGCATACCCAAATTTGCATCATTTTCATTGACAACTTGATAAAAATATTACTGGCTTAAGCCTTCCTGAAAACAAAACATGCTCCAATTTACAGGAGTATGAACACATCAAACCCAGAATATCACTTGGGTTTCAGACACAAACACTTCACAAGGAAGTTAAAAGACAGACTAAGTGATGTATTGCTTCTTCCATGTATTGTGATACTTTTTCCATGAAGAAGTAAACCTTGGATTAAAAGCATTCAGTTGCTGCCAAATGATTTCTGTATCATTCTCAGTTACCCCAGTACCTTTACGCAACACTCCAGTAGGCTGGAAGGAACTACTGTCTTACTATATGGTGCTTCACAAGTTTAAATATGTGCTATTGCTTATTGTTACCCATTGCATCTAGAAAGAGCACAATGTCTTTGACAATGTCAAAGCAGAGCTGAAGTTGCCACCTGTTAAAAAAGTGATCCGAAAATCAAACGGCATCAACAAAGATCAACTGTAACTGAACGTGTTTCCATCTTCAGAGCAATGAAAATCACAGGCCTAGGGCAATGAATGGCTGTCCTACTTCCCATTTACTCTGTGTTTACCTAAAAGATAAGCTGGTTCATACATCAACTCCTTATGCCTCTTGATCTGGTCATGAATATTCCCATAATCCTTTCACCATATCCCATAAAACTTCATTGACAGAATGAGGAAATTCTTTCCTCGGATGTCATGAGATCCTCATTCATGCTCAGTCTATCCTTATCTCCATATGAAACGATATTGTTACCCATTCATTTTCTTTTCATTAATCCTGTGATACTAGATCTGAAAGGCTCGAACCCAGACTAATTGGTCTGTAATTAGGATTTGGATATGCTGAGAACACAAGAAAACCCACACTCACAGACAGAGTTTGCTTTTCATAATATTATAAGCTCCTAAGAAGAAAACCTCTTCAAATATTCATTCTTACAGGGACCGCAAGGTCACTGATGGCAGCCTGTTATAACTGAGATTATCTACCAATTAACAGTGCAGAGGTCAGGAAATCACTTCTAACACAAGCTGAAACAGCTAAAATAGTGTATCTATCAAACAAAGCTCTAAAGAGAAGGCCAAGTAATCTTATAATAATATTGAAGAAATTATGAAAGTAAAGTATGTTACCAATTTATTCCAACAAGGCTTTAAGTAGCAAGAAAAACAATATAGTTTCCAAGTGCATTAATTGGTTTAATGAGAGATGCAACCTCTCTCCACAGGACTGGTCTTGATTATGCTTCTAAAGATAAATGAATTTTCAGATATTCAAAACACACATACCTAGATGTAAATAAGAAATGGGTTTAGCATACAATTCTTAAAGAAAAATCATGTCTCCCTGCACTACTGCTTGGAGGAAGCTGCGTGAGTATTTTATCAGATGAAGCAAAACAAAAAGCTTCCCTGTTCCCTGTTTACAAGTTTGCCCATATGGCATCAATTTCCAGTTGCAGCATAATGAAAAATAGTAAACTCTTTCTGGACAGAGATCCATCTTCATTTTATATTTCAGTGCAGCATATGATAGCATGAAAAAGCGTGATAATATTTGCTAATGCCTCACTGTAAATCCTCCCGTTCTACAGCTAAGCGATTTCTACCTCCAACTACTTTTACATGGCTTTGATGTTATGCTTTGGGTTTTGGTTACAGTTCAGTTGTTGTTGGTTTTTAAAAAAAAAAAATAAAAAATCCAATCTTTCTTTCTTAATCCCTTTGTTGCCTATGAACATTGCTACTGCTTGCTATGCTACTTCTGTGTTATGGTTAATTAACCATAAAGGCAAAAATCTAGAATTTACTGCTGTGAATGCATCATCTTTCCTCTGGCAAAAAGGAAAGCCCCATCTGCAGTCAGATTTCACCACAGTGCCCAGAAGCAACTGTTAAAAACTGGAAACACGGATCCACAGTTTCCTACTGAAAGCTGAATTCCAGCTCAGGGCTACCTAAGTCACAGATCCCACATGTGTTCTCAACCCCCTGTGCACAGCCAGGTGGAGAATTAGAAAAAAAAACCTCCTCAAAGTTCAGCTTTTTGCACCGCATTCCTGAATTTCCTAAAGGCCAGGCAAAAGCAACACT